GGGCAAGACAGGGGCCGGGCTGCCGGCGAGGCGAGCCGGGGGCCGGGGGCGACCATCACCCTCGAGGAGGTGTTCAGTACCTTCACCAAGGGGATGCAGAGCAGTAGCAGTAGCCACGTGGAATGTCACCGCTTTCACCGCCCAGGCAGTTTATCTGCCCCAGGTGATGTAACGTGTACATTGTGCTGCAGCTCAAAGCTGTACTGCCGACTAGGTTCAGCCCCAAATTGTAGAGTGGCGTGAGTATTTTTGCATTATTTTTAGATAGGGCGCCAGGGGAATTAACCCCACAGAATTACATCGCTGTGTACAGAGCAAGTAAACAGCAATTTTATTCGGTATGTTAATCAAGTAGTTAGTTACACTGAGGCAAGAAAACGTAAAGCTGGTCAGGAGACAATGAAGATAACAACTCATTCATAAGACACACAGGTCATAAACACAAAGTTCAAAGAACTGAATGGGACGTACCCAAAATCACACTGTCGGACCACGAAAGCTAAGCGGCTTCAAAGGGAAGCCGAATCCAAATCGGCAGAACGGGTCCGGAATGTGAGACTAGCCGCGCCTAGCAGGTAGGCAAACCAACGGCCATAAGACCCCGTGGAGGTAGGCAACTCATCCGTCCGGATTAAATGTCGTTACGAAGGCACCAAAATGTGCATAAACAACGCCACCGGCCGCAGAGGCGGGTAGCAGGGGTTAGCCGGGCACACCGCGAACCACAGCGCACAAGGGCCTCGCCAGACCAACCGACACGAAAACGCTAAAAGACACATCGGTCGACAACAAGACTGACTTACTAAGTCAACGGCAGCATTGCAGACGAGGGAGGTGACAAGGGGCCCCGGCGGGGCGGACGGTGGTGACGTCACATGGTGGCGGCTGCGTGTGGATCGCCGGCTAACGGCACAACGCCCACACAAAGTGCACATATACTCGGTCTAGCGAAAGAGTGCGTCTGAATAGCATGGGCTCTTATGGGCGGGTATATAAGGCCTCGGCGCACTCTTTCGCTAGATGGACCGTAGCGCACCAGAGGTATGGTCGAAAACCGAAACCTAAAACCCTGAAAGTGGACAACAACACGCATCAACACAGAGTCTCACGTCTCAGGCTCAGGATTTAGACACAAAGATTGCCGTTCTCGCTTACCAAGGTTGCCGGGTCCTTTAACACTCAGTTGGCACATAGGACACTTGGGTTTGTAGAGAACCGTCCTAAATCTAACACAAACATCGGCTAACGGCCACCACGCCACCACTCTCCTCGCTGCGGCCGGCTCCAGCCGCTCAGCTGATCAGGCCGGCGGCTGGGAGGCGCTGATTGGCGCACGCGCTCAGGCGGCAAAGGTGACCGGTTCGAAATTCAAAGAAGGACCGCGGCCGCAACCCCTCGACAAGGGGTGGGACCGGCCGGCTAAGGCAAACCACACCCCCTCGGAATTTCGAGCGTCACAGTGAACTACAGTGCACGCCTCGCTAGCCTGACAGACGCCCACACGATAGGTGAAAAGTGACCCGCTGGGATTTTTAATGTTCCTACTGGTCACACGCATGGCCCCGAAGTAATTTTGTCGCAATCTCAGCTGGTGTGAGGTTTCGGTTCCCCACCTCCAAATCAGCATTTCCAACACCATTATAATAAATTAGAAATTTCCCATAGCTACTAATCCTAGAACTGATGTCGAGTTGGCGTGGACAACGTTCAACACCAATGCCGATGGTGGGTGAACAGCTTTTTCCAGCCCTACGCCTGCCTACATCAGAATCCTCTTTGGGTTGAATTAGCATAGAATCTGGGCCTCATGGTAAAAAATAATAATAACTGTAACATCCAGAATGTGGAATATTTATTGATTTCCAGATCATTGTTCATTAAAAAAAAAACAGGGACACTTAAATTGTGGGTAGGAGCCTGATTTGGCAAAATAAAAGTAGCCTATTACTCAGAAAAACTCCACTGTTAGCACTTACTTCCACCCTCGTCCAAGTCCACCTGAATTGTGACAATGCTCAAAACAAGCTTGAACTATTTTACATTGATTTTCACATAACATGAATATTTTGGTGCACATTCATAAACTGCTTCCATGAGACAATACACCTCTCCTCCCTCATGTCACCAAAAAACAAAAAACAAAAAAAATTGGCAATGAAAACGGTTTGGACCATTTCTGTTTTAACCAAGAGCCTAGTTGTTTAGACATTTTTGTATTATATATAGTTACTTTACTGCCCCTCTTTTATTACCTCCCTTATCACCTGGTTATTCGGAATTTGAGTATGTTAAGCTACTGTAAGTACTAACATTAATTAACAATGGCAATGAATGTATATGTATAAATGAAAATCATAGAACATATTACTTTAAAATGACACAATGAGTAGTTGCATGATTTGCACAAATAGTGGGCACATAAATCCACAAGTAGGTAGATCAATACACAAGAACATATACACACTGTCATACAAAGATCACAAAGAGCAGTGAACACTCAATAAAAAAATAAACACACATCAATTATAATTCTAGAATGATCACATTTTAAATTACACCTAAGATCTTAAAAGTCAACAAAAAAGTGGGAAATGTATGTTTCAAAACATTTTGAACATTTTACATTATTAAAACACAACATTTTTCATGGTTATCACTGTTAGGAATATTATGAAGTAAAAATGACTAAAACTGAGCAGTAAAATGCTCCAGAAATAAATATAACTACAAAGGCACTACAAAAATGATATGCAAAACAAAAATGTTAAGAGAGAGAACAATAGAAGCCCAACAAAACTGAGGTGCAGATGACATTGGGGACTAAAAAAGATTTTTTTTTTAAATGCTGCAAATATTTTACAGAAAAACAGACAGTACCATCTGACAAGATGTTTCATGATTTAAAAATATTTGTTGATGCAAAAGTAAATTGTGATATTTGCTGTTTAAGCTTAAGATTAGATTAATAAGTTTTAGAGTTCGTCATGAGTGGGTTCTGCTCCCAAACTTAAAAGAACTTTGTTCACATGTCTTAGAATTTGGTCTGATCTTTGGGAATTGATCTCTTCTCCTTGATCGGGATAGATTGTATTGGGATAATAGAGAGTGACAGTTGGGTAAGCACGAACATAAGCTTTGCGGCATGTCTCTGGATGAGCATCACAGTTCACTTTTCCACATTTCACTTTGCCTTCAAGTTTCTGAAAAAAAAAGGCCCAGTAGGAAATCAGTTATTTTTGTTACTCTTAGGTGAAATTCATGGAGGTACCAAGTTATATTATTACCAAAGCCAACATCTGGAATTCGGGGGCAAAATGCTGACAATGCCCACACCATGGAGTGTAGAAGTCAATTAACCAAGGCTTTTCACTATGAAGAACTCGATTTTCAAATGTATCTTGTGTCAGCTCCACTACTGAAGTGGGTAAAAATGTGAAAAGCCATAAGCGAATGGACCAAGCATCCCTATTATAATCACTGTAAATGCTGTGGACAAGTTTAATTCTGTTAAATTTTGAGCACATATTTACCACACCTTGAGATTTAGAAGAGACAAAGCTTCCCATTTTAAATGGGGGAGGAGGAGGGGGGATTCAGTGTAGTGGGGACACCCTAAATCAACAGACAAAAATAGGAGAGTGGAAAATCAACAATGGGCTCTGTGGGAATGCCTGCAACAATAGGTTAATACTTACGCCACAGTGTTAAGGCCAAAACTATTGAAGGGGTAAAGCCGAATAGTTGGATATGAACGAATGCCTTGATGTTGACACAAGAGTCTCTCAACAGTACAGTCCACCTGACCAATATTTACATTTGGGACTTCTGTAACCATCTGTAAAATATCACAAGTTCAACATTACTGTAGGTGTAAATCAATTATTAAAGGAAAAATAAATTGATCATGAATTCTCAACACCAACATACCTTTGCCAGTTTTCTCCATTGGTGAGCTAATTCCTGACATGCTCCACACCATGGGGCATAAAAGTCAATAAGCCACAGCTCTTCAGTGCTTTTGTTTCCAACTTTTTCATAAAAGTCTTTTTCTGACAGTTTAATAGCTAGACCCAAAGAGTTTATAATTAAACATAGGTTTCCACAACATGCTAAAGGAAATTTCAATACGGGTGAAATACATACCAGTAGGATTTAACATTTCTTGAATAAACTCTGTTATTTCATGGGCAGTATGAGATCCTCTGAATGGCTCCGACTCACTGTGGTTGAAGAACATTGTAGTGGGATAGGCATGAATGTTGTAGCGCTGGCAAAGGCTTGAATGAATGGTACAGTCCACAGTGCCAAAATTAACAGAGTCCTCAAACTCTCTGCTAGCTTTACGTAGCTCAGGTAGTAGTTGCATACAGGGTGGACACCATGGTGCATAAAAGTCAACAAACCAGGGACTTTTCGATCCTGTAAAAGTTTTCGATTGTTGATCCCACAAACACAAAGCTGATTCAGTAATTACATTGGAGTGATATTTTGTAGCACTTTGAGGTGGCTTTGCATACCATCAGACTTATGCAGCACATCAGGAAAATCCTCAGATGATAATGTGTGCAAGTTCGGAGCAGAACTACTATCCTTAGCAAAATTAGCCACATCATGAGCACTCTCTCTACCATGGTACACCTCAAACTTCCCTCCAGGCTTTAACACAGCAAACATTGGGTACCGATGAACATGCCACTTCGTGCAGAGAGTAGAGTGGCGCCCACAATGTACACGACCTACTCAAACACAGATAACATGAGATACTGTTGCAAACAAATCTCCTTAATGTCAGATCAATTGATCACAAACCTATTCTTAAGGTTGGTAAAAGTGATGGTAGTTTTTTCAGTTCTTTAGTTTGTTCGTCAGGTGATCCAATGTAGAAGTAAACTAGCCATGATGATGATGAATCTAAAGACAGTTGGGCATGTATCTCCTAAAAATAGAAATTAGAGAGAAGAGATTTTTTTTTCAAGAGAGATAACGGTTGGGTTTTATTCTTTTACATCTACAGACTTCAGCAAAAGTTTACCTGAAAAGCTTCTTCGTCAAGATCTGCAGGGTTAGGCAAGAGATCAAAAATATAGGTAGTTACTTCCTGAGCATCATGGCTGCTTATATCATAATAACGCCCTTCAATCGAGTCCATTCCACCTTCTCTTTTCCAGAACACAATATTTGCTCCAGAGGGGCTCATTTCTCTACACCACTCAACATCTGCATCACAATCAATTGACCCTTGCCCAGCAAGCCCTTCCTGCAACAAAGTGAATCAAAAATTTGATAAAGAGTGGAATTTTAAGTACAGCACTCACACCAAAGCACTTCATACCAATATGGAGCCAACTTTCAGCCTGGTTTCAGAGGAGGGGCAGTCTTCAAACTGCTGTCCTCCACACAGGAACAGAACCCATGACAGCCCTTTGTTTATATCAGACTTTAAAAGATTAATCCACTGATTGCTTCGAATGTGAATTAAATTAGTTTTTAGTTTACTTAGGACAAATTTGCGGAGCTCAGGTAGAGAACGTTCATCACTATATTTCCACCGCTGAAATAAATAAGCAATTTGTGAATAAGATCTCTTGCAAACAAATTTTAACACATTTTGGTTACTCTAGAAATTTTAAAAAACCTACACTTGGATAAATATACAAAGATGGGTAGGATCTTATATTTAAATGACGACACAGTTGCCACTCATCCTCACAGTTGACAGCACCAAATCTTAGAACACCCTCCATTTCTTTCGCGAGAGCTCTCCAAACAGGAGCCAAATCGTGACAATGTGAGCACATAGGAGAATAAAAATTAATAAACCACAAACTGTTGGAGTTCAAAACACTTTGCTCTGGAAAACAAAACAGAAAATAGGATGTAAAAATATGACCCTTGAGGTGAAATTTATCAAAGAAGAGCAACAGCTTACGGAAATCAGCCTTGGTCAAGGTAATAATTTCTTGGTCGTCATCATATATTCCAAAATTATCACGATAATATGTGTAACTGTGGTATTGAGGTTGTTGTTTCTTATTGGACCCGGGCAAACCATCTTCACCATGAAGATCATACTTCTTTCTAAGGTCTTCATCTTTCAGAACTTCATATGCCCGAGTCAACTTTATAAATTTTTCATGGGCGTTTTCATCATCCTGACAAATTAAAAAATTCAAAAGAAGAATACTATGACAGAAGTACTTGCCTGCAAGGGGAAAAAAATTAGAAGTAAATAGCAAACCTGGTTTTTGTCTGGGTGAAGAGTTACTGCAAGCTTCTTGAAAGCTTTCCTAATTTCTCTATTATTTGCATCTCTAGCAATTCCTAAAAGCTGATAAAAGTCTTCACCACCTAAGGCCACGTTCATACACACTACTAATATAGTCAAAAATGCAAGGGTTCTCCTGAAACAGAATATAGTTTTCTTTTGAAAACTTTGACAGGTAGCAACAGCAGTAGTTACAAAACCAATGAGGTTGTATCTCATTTAAAGTGCTAGTGTTGCTTAAGTTTACACAAAACATTGTAAGCAGAAGTGAGTGAGGAACTACCAAAACAGTGAAAAATATTGAGGCATCAGAAAAATTCCCTTGGTAATAAGAGAACTAGCAGGTACATTAGCAGAAGAGTTACAGAGTAGGTTAGTGTGATTTTTCCACAATTAAATACAAGCATAACACAACACAAATGTTCACTATTTGCTTCTCTTAGGAACTTACATTGTTTACTTATTTGACGAATACCAAATTGCGAGAAAGAGAAGACACCAATTCTCGACTTTCGGATGTATAAACAATTTGTGTAATGTTCTTAGGAAGCCGCCATGTTCACCGCCCACGCTTCGCGACCTCCTGGCTGGAGAGAGATGTGCGCATATAGTGCTGTCAACGACCGCCGCTGCCCGCCCTCGATTCAAATGCGTTCGCAGCCAGAGAACAACCGTGGGGCGAACTCTGCCCTTGGGAATCTGCGCTACTTTTACCGCTGAAAACACCCTTGTACTTTTTTGCCTTGCTCTCAGATAACAGATAAGATATCCATGAATGGATGATATGGGCCACCCACAGCTTTTTGCTGGATGCTGCGATGGACCGGCGCTGCTGTCCTGCGTTCCTGCCGGCAGTGCGGGTGGACCCCCTCCCCCTCCCCCCTTCTCTTCCCATTACGCCCTACGCCCTCTATAAAGCAAAGTTCCACGTCGGTTGCAGACCAGTCAGCAAATTGGACTTCGGCCGCTAGGCTGTTTTGGTTAGATTTTTGACGGTTTTTCTGTCGTCCAGTCTTCGTCTTGGACAACACCCCATCGGAGAAGATGAGTAGCGCATCGGTGAAGAGTGAGACGGAATATCCGCATCTTGATTTGTCGGGAAAATTGATAATTAAAGTTCAATTGGGTGATGACGTTCGCCGGATACCGATTCACAATGAAGCCATAACCTACGATGAGCTGGTCTTAATGATGCAAAGAGTTTTCCGCGGAAAGCTGAACAGCTCTGATGATATTACTATCAAATACAAGGATGAGGATGGTGACCTTATTACTATATTTGATAGCTCTGATCTGGCATTTGCAGTTCAGTACAGTCGTATTCTGAAACTTCAGCTGCTTGTTGGTGATCAGAAGAACAATGGTCAATTGCAATTGCGAGCAACCGAAGTAAACGAGGTGCGAAGAGAGTTGCAACAAATTCGTGACCAAGTGAACCGCTTGTTAGATTCACTTGGCAGTGCCTCAATTTCTAGTGTGCCTACAAAGTCAGAAAAGCCTCCTCAATCGGAACAAGTTTCCTTATCAACTCAGCCTATTGCAAATGGGACTGTGTCAGTGAATCCAAAAGAGTTTGATCCACTTGGGAAACCAGCAAAGCCTGGTGACATTTCAAATCCGGATGTAAGTAGCCAAGCTGATCCTATCCAGAGTCGTCATAGTACTCCAGAAATTCCACTCCACCAAACAGCATCTGCATCATCCACACCTCACAGTGCAACTCCTGTGTCATTAACACCTCAGCCACCAGCAAACCCAATGCTACCATCCCACACGGCTCAAAGTGCCTCTGGAAACCAGTTTGTTGGGTATCAGCCCCCAACAAGCATGGCACAGCCTCAGCCCCAATCCCAGCCAGCTACAGTGGACCCTTCTCAGACTCAGCAAGCTCGGCCTTACCCCCAGTACTCTCAATATCAAGCTCCCCCCCAGGGCTACGGCATGCCTCCACTCCCTCAGCAGAATGGTCCGGCAAGTGTACCAAGTGTACAACCACCCAAACAGGCTGTTGGTCGTATCCCAACATATCCACCGAGTTCAACAGCAGCAAGCGTGCCCCTTCAGTCTCCATATGGTCAAATGGGAGGACCTGCTGGAGTCCAGCATAGCTCGCCTACTCACACATCCCGCCATCAGCTTCCAGGAATGCCAGGACAAGGCCCAAACCCTCTGGCAGGACCCCATCCTGGTCAGCTGCAAGGGCAGATGACTGGTCAGATGCCAATTGGTGGCGACTACAACCAGCAGCAGCAACAACTACAGCAGCAGCAGCAACAGCAACAACAGCAACAACAACAGCAACATTATCCTTCTTTACCCCACATGGGTGCTCCACCAAGTGGCCCGCTTCAGTCTCAACACCCTGGGTCCAACCCATACAGCAAGAATATGGCCAATATGTACAATAATTACAATGCCCCGCAACAGCCTCCGCAACAGCAACCTTCAGTACAGCCAGGCTATCAGTAAAGAGTTTAACGAGAATCATTCTAAAGTGTCTTTTTTGTTTTCTTGTTTTAATTAATTTTTATAGCTAAT